CTTGTTCAAACTCAATGTGAGCTCTAAACCTAAGAGTAATGATCGTCTAATGAAGAATTTATGAAAGTTCACAATGACATTTGGCTCATCCATGCCATGTGCCCCTTGTCCCTATCCAACGAATCCAATGCATATAAACTTTTTTCACAGTAACAGGCTGTTGAAAAGTTTTTTAGAGAAAGGGGCAGAAAAAACCTGCCAAAAGTATAACTTTTGGCAGGCTTTCCACCCAAATCGCCTCTAAAAGAGACGATTTGGGTGGAAAGCCTGCCAAAAGCTGCACTTTTGGCAGGCTTTCCCACTACCCAAATTGTAAACAAACAGCCCCTAAGTACAAGGGTTAAAATGCACATGAGCCCCCACAACATCACGCTTTGGAACTTATAATCTCTATAGTTTGGTTTTGGTAGATGGACCTTCTGGATAATAAATTTCTTTTTTACTCATTTTGCATAATCCACTTAGGGATAACATCAGCCAAAATTCATCCTGGATAAAAAGAATAAAAAAAAATCTTTTACCCATGGGTCTATATACAACCAAAGAGTTGTTTGATTATTTTCAAGGAAGGCTAATTCCGAGAAAATAAATGGAGTCGTCACCTTTTACATTTTCCTGAACTCATTTCTGACCTCAATACTTAGAAATGAGATATCTTGTTTCCAAGAAAAAACTGACATGTTTTAGAGGCATGGTTTTTCCTATTCTTTTGCTAAATCAAACACGAGAAATGGAAATTATTCGGGAAAATCCTTATTTAGATGGGCGTGTCGGTAATTTTTCCGGACGTTTTTCATAATTTCGTTGAACCAAACAGTCCTAAATCTAAATTAAAAAGAATTTTTTTTATTTTATATTTCAATTACAACCTTGTATCAGTAAGTCAATTCTTATTGAAAGTATAAAAAATCAGAGATAGAATCCACGTAACTTGTTTTAGTAAGTCAATTTTTTATTTTAGTCTCAGTTTCAGCCGCGTAACTTGTTTCTTCAATTGCTTGTGCTTCTAATAAACACCAAGCACTTCCGTAATCGGATCCAATTGCCTCCCTTCCAAACCCGCAAAGCCCGGAACTGAGCCCAAAAAATAAAGGCCGCAGGAATTAATTGGAGAAAAGACAAGATCCGCAACCGAAACGGATAGAATCCACGTAAGTCTGACTTGGATTGGGTACCCACCGCCCGATACGCCGCTTTTCCGGTCTCCATCTCTGGTTAGTGGGGTCACACTGGAGTACGTGGCAAGATTTTAGTAGATGCCGATGAGCGGTCGTAAATTAACTACCATAATCTATCGTAAATTATTTTTTAGCCATGTCAATACAATTGATTGAAAAATAATCGGTTTTGTAAAATATGAGTTCTGAAAAGCACACGACAGTTAATCTCATATAATTAGTGATCACTAATAACATGAGGCTAGTAGTTCTGTGTAATTAGCAGTGTCTTGTTTTTCGTACGCGCGTTGATAACTCATTGCAACAATTACAAACAAACTTTGAAAATTACGGGGCTACTAGTCTCGTGTGTTTTAAGACTGTGATTAGCTTGTTACTAATGAACACTAATTATATAGAACTAATAGTCTGGTAGTTTTCGAATTCCTTCAATTAAAAATATTGACCACTTTTGGCCCATTTGATTTGCATTAATTTCTGTGCATAATTCATTTCTCTCTATCTCTCCTCTTTTATAGAGTGCCCATGGGCACTCTATAGAAAAACCGATTAACTATTAATTATCCGACTTTAAAGATTGTTTATAAATCCAATGATTGAAATTACTTTGGTAGAATAATTAAAGGAGTATTTCTTTTTAGAACAGAAATTTGTGGGACCAGCCATAAAACAAGGTGCCATGTGTCATTTTATTAGAATTCAAACCAATATCAATGACTAGTAAATACACATCACTCGTGTTACAATAGTTGGTCTCATAATTTTTTGCCTAAAAATTCATTTCTCTAGTTTAAGGTATTAAAAAAGACAATTGAATACTTTCTCCTATGAAATAATACAGAGAATTAGGAGATCTCGATGAGTGTCCAACAAATATTTTAAAGTTTTAATTACATTGATACCAATAATCTGATTGTACCGCAGAGAGCCCATTACGAGAATTTCCCCCTCGGTTTAGGCGGATCCGGGTACGGATGTTGGGGATCTGATCCGGGTATGTGATCTAGGACTTACTTAAACCCGACCCAACAATAACCCAACGAAGAATAGGTCCAACTAATCGAAAGTAATTTCCTCCGTGAGCATGGATTAGTGATGACTTGACTAATCTCCTAGAATTAAGATCAGATTGCATCATAAGAATTTTCAAATTAATATACAGGAAGACACAATCTTGATATTTCCTGAACAACTCAATAAGCAACGCTTTAAAAGGATTAAATAGCGGCTAAAAATTTGCAGACTGAAACATTGTATTAAAAAAAAAAATCTAATCGCTCAATATTCACTTTTCTTTTAGCAAATCCTTCAGATGTTTGAACAAAATTTGATATGGTTTTGAAAAGAATGGCTCCTCAACAATGCCGAGTCATGCATGTTTTATTGCTTAATTACTTATTTTAATAGCATATATTATTATGTTCGTTAGTAACTTGCAAGAGGGTTTTACGTTAATTTGTTTTTAAAATAAGGATAAACTATAACTAACTCCTATATACTCTCAAGGGTTCCTGTAAACACTGTTCTACTGAAGTTAATCAAGTGCTGTTAAATATAAATTAATTTGAATCTTAATAATAACAATATTGCTCATAATGCGAAAAGAATTGAATCTCGATCGGTTGATTTGAAATAGAAATAATTATATTTAATTTAATAATCCTTGTGTTTTTTAATTTAAGAATCTCCATCAAGATTTAATGTGATGGGTGATATCACAATTTTGTTAGATCTACATCAAAACTTGAGATCTAAAACCATATAGCCATGATTAATTCAAAGAGATTAACAATAATCATAAGAGCGGAAGCTTATACCTGAATCCATGGATGAAATCTTGATTTGGGTTTTTGATGATCTTCTAACCTTAGGGTTTCTCTAAAATCCGAATTTCTCTCTTAGATGGGGGTGAAGAGAATTAGAGAATGTAACCCTAGGTTAGGGACCATAACCCCTTATTTATAGATGTTGTACTTTTGTAATTTAGCCCCTCAATAAATTACAATTACAACCTGGTATCTGCACATATGACCCCATGATCATTTAAATACCAAATTAACCCAACTTAATTGATCACTTTAGTGGGTTATCCTGAAAGATAGCAATACACATTGTTTAATCATATGTGCCCACAAATAGATTTATTAGATTAAATCCAACAATCTCCCACTTGGGCACCATATGATTCCTTAAACTGTGTATAACCTTATGAGCTCAAAAATTGCTATCACTGAAATGGTATTTCCGAACAATCTCGTCCATTGACTATATCAATATAGGATCAAAGCGGCCTTCGTCACATTTATCGTGACTCGACCCATCAATGGTCACATATACCAATACAATCAAACGACAT